GTGTGTGTGTGTGTGTGTGTGTGTGTGTGTGTGTGTGTCTGTGTGTATGTGTCTGTGTGTGTGTCTGCGTGTGTGTCTGTGTCTGTGTGTGTGTGTGTGTATGTGTGGTGAATCTGTTAATGCTTGATGTGTGTTTATTGGTCAGTGTGGTGAAGGTGCTGCTGGAGGCCGGTGCCGATCCAAACCTGGGCGATGACTTCAACAGCGTGTATGAAGCGGCTCGAGAGAAGGGCGTTCACTCATTAGAGGGTGAGACACGCATCTACATGTGCTTCACCATCATCATCATCACTGTTAGTTGTAAACCCATCCACACACACACACACGCATGTAAACACAGCAGGAGTGTGTGTTATTACATAGATCAATTTTAACACGCTCATTTTGTGCCTTTGCATATCGGCACTCGATTTATTTAGCAGCGTGTTGTTTGTAAGTGTTTTCCATCTCACACACACAAACACACACACACACACACGCACACACGTCATATCTGGCTGCTGTATGTATATTACTCACATTTGTTTTGTTGTCAGTTTTTTGGTCTTGAAGGAGCATCTTTCCCTGAAGCACCATGATGAATGAGTGTGTGTGGAATATGAGAATATTCCGGCAGACTGTGTGTGTGTGTGTGTGTGTGTGTGATGGATCGCCAGGCTCTGCTCGTCTGACGGTTTATTGGGTTATGTTGTGATTATCTGGCTCTTAGACATTAGTTACCCGTGACGATCCGCCTGACAGCAGCCCAGAGAGAAAATATGTTTCTGCACACAGACAGAAGAAAAACTCTGTTGCTGCGTTATGATTTATTTGCGCGTGTCTGCGCTGAGAATAATTGTGCGCTTTATGTGAGCGCTTTTACATGCGTTTGTTCTTAATTCAAGCGGTTTGTCTTGTTTTAAGAACGCCGTTGAACATCGTCAGCCTCCTCTCCTTCATTTTTACCGTCTCAGTCTCTGTGTCTCTGTTTCAGTGCACTTTCTGCCAAATAAATCAAATAAAAATAACATGAAAATAGCACAAATGGAGTAAACGTGTAGTGCTAAAGACTCCATGAAATCTGTTTGTTTTTCCTGTTTGCTGTTGAAAAAGGAAAATCTTTAACTTTCTACAAATGTTAAATGTGTTTATTTTCTAAAATATAAATTATAATGTAAAATATAAATATGTATTAATATATATATAAATTATCATATAAAATATAAATGTTTATTTTCTAAAATATATTATAATAAATAAAAATATTTATAAAATATTTATAAAAATATGAGCTCGAAGATAAAGACTTTAAATTAAATAAATAGAAGTGTAAAATTGTGGAATTTAACAATCATATATCAATGTTTATATCATGAATCGCGCAATCAACAATCAGCTAAATTTATTTTAAATATAAATAAAATATTATATTAATTAAAAACATGAATTACACAATTAAATGTATTTCAGTGCACTTTTATTATTGACTGTGTAATAACTGTAGTTTTCTCAGGTGTGATATGATCTGAAATCAATTATTATTGTTGAGTATATTGAATACTCTTTTGAATTCATGAGCTCTTAAACATAAAAAATTAATTCAGATAAAATTACTGTTTGGTATAAAATTGGAAATTGCCAATCAGCAAAAAAAAAAAGTAATTTAAATAAATTGTTATATTAATTAGTAACATGAATTATGCAAATAAATGTCTCTGAATGTAGTTTTATCGTTCACTTTGACAGGGTTTGATGAGCTTGTGAAGCGTCTGTTGTTCAGCAGTGTGTGTGTGTGATTGAAGCAGCACTGGAGTGTTTCAGTGTTTGTGTTCGTCTGTGTTCTCAGCCCAGCAGCTTGAGTTCAGATCGACTGTAAAGCTGATCTTGTTGAACTGTGTCTGGCAGTGCTGGTGAGCCGCGAGGACGAGTTCAGCAGTCGTCTCAGCAGCCGTGCTTCTTTCCGGGGCTGTTCTGCTCTGCATTACGCTGCGCTGACCGACGACCTGCGGACCATCCGGATGCTGCTGGACGCAGGTGAGGTCACATGACCCTCAGAGCACACACAGACTCACACTCACGCACACACGTGCGTGCACACACACTCTCACACACTCACGCGCACACACACACACACACACAGGCTCACACGCACACAGACAGACTCTCACACTCACGCTCACACGCACACACACACACACACACTCACGCTCACACACACTCTCACACACTCACGCTCACACGCACACACACACACACAGGCTCGCTCACACACGCACACACACATGCACACTCACACACACTCTCACTCATACACTCTCACACGGACACGCACACGGACACACACACACAGGCTCACACGCACACACTCACACACACACATTCTCTCACGCTCACACGCGCGCGCACACACATACACACACACAGGCTCACACACACGCACAGACTCACACGCACACTCACGCTCACACACTCTCACACACTCACGCTCACACGCACACACACACACACACACACAGGCTCACACACACGCACAGACTCACACGCACACTCACGCTCACACACTCTCACACACTCACGCTCACACGCACACACACACACACACACACAGGCTCACACACACGCACAGACTCACACGCACACTCACGCTCACACACTCTCACACACTCACGCGCACACACAGGCTCACACGCACACACACAGACTCACACACACAACACACACAGACTCACACACACTCACGCTCTCTCACACACACACACACACACGCACACACTCACACACATTCTCACTCATACACTCTCACACGCACACAGACACTCACACACACAGGCTCTCACACACACACACACACACACACACACACACACACACACACACACACTCACTCATACACTCTCACACTCACATGCACACAGACACTCACACTCTCACACACACACACACACACACACACACACACAGACTCATGTGGAAGCTGACATTCAACTCACTTTGCAAAAACCATATGCCTTAACCATATTGCACACTTAGTAGAATGCAGTGATAGTGACCCTGAAATTCAATATATTGGGGTAAAATTACTTGCATATGAGTTTTTGTCATGTATTTCTATGATATAGTTTAGCAGTTTTACATTTTAGATACAATATTGTATGTTTTTGCTCTATTTTGCCAAACAGAAATAGTGAGCGACAAAGTGGTGTTTTGTTCCTGAATGAATCAGTGTTTTTGAATGATTCAGCGATCCATTCCTAAAGAGTCATTTGCCTTGTTCCTGAATCCTGAGTGAAGCTGTTCAAATGAATCGGTTGAATTAATGATTCAATGACTCATTAAAAAGTGAATTCATATAAGATTTCATTAAATAAAATGGCTGTACAGCGTACAACTAAAAATGAGCAATTAGCAAAGTTTATTTTAAATTGAAATAAATTATATTAATTAGTAACATGAATCCAATGACTCACATTTTACTAATTATAATATGTTTAAATGTATTTGAAATCAATTAAAATATTTATTTAATATTATTAGTTATTTAATTAAATTTTTTTATTTAAATATTTATTTAATTTTTTTATTTATATTAGTAACATGAGTTCAGTGACTCACATTTTACTAATTAATATAATTTGTTTAAATTTATTTGTAGTCTTTTTTTATATTTATTTAATATTTTTTTATTAATATTAAAAATTTGTTTTTATTTAATGTTATTGTTATTTTATTTTAATTTTAAATAGTTATTTACATTTATTTTAAATTTAAATAAATTATATTAATTAGTAACATGAATTCAGTGACTCATGTGTTACTAATTAATGTAATTTATTTACATTTATTTATAACAGATTTTAAGTTTCATATTTCAGTATTCAAAATATTGCTTTACACTGCAATTAATATATATATATTATTGTAATTGCAGTGTAAATGCTGCTTCAGACGTTGCTTCTGTGCAAAAATTGATTTTGTTGCCACTGTTTTCATTTGATTGGTACAGCCTATAGTGTCTAATTATTCAAATTAAATTTATTGATTAAATGTAAGAATTTGACATAAAAGATGAGGCATACATCTAGTAAGATTAGAAAAACTGTCCTTATGAAGGTAGAAAATGAGATGTATTCCTCATATGAAGTGATCCAAGTAATCAGATGCACATCTTCACCTGCTGGAGCAGAAAACAGGTGACGATCCCCGAGTGTTTGTGACGAGCGTCAGCGTCTGGCTAATATAGAGCAGCAGCGCTCTCTTCCTGTTAGCCTGAGGCCGGCCAGCTTAACCTTTGACCTCTGGAGTAACGACACTGTGGCTTATGTGACCCGCACATGAGAGGTGACAGGAAGAGGTGTGTGTGTGATTTACACGAGTGTGTTATTATAGCCGCAGGGCACACACGCACGCACACACATACACTCATAATTTAGTGGGTACAGGATCTAACAGGCATGTTGTTGGTTTAGATGCAGTGATAAGTTTATTTAGCTCTTCCTGTCCTATAGCTGTAAAGCACTGCAGTTTATCTTTTGGTGCGATGAATGAAGCTAAAGTATTATACGCTGTAGAATCTACATTTGTTATTGTATTTCTGATGTTATCTATTTTACAATGTAAAGAAATTCATAGTCATTGCTATTAAACTGTGAGGGAATATTTAGATCCGGTGGCGTCTGGTTATTTGTTAATCTAGCCACTGTGCCACTTATTTTCTGTTGATTCACTCTAAATCAGTCACAACGAGGTTTCATGATGCTTAAGATGCGGAGTGTGCAGATAATAGACAGCCAATCAGCTCGGTGGGTTTGATAACAAAGAAGATGACCTTTATTGTTCTTAAATCATTATTTTTATTTTAAATATATATTTTATTTGTAATAATGTTTAAAAGCTATACTTTTAATTATGTAAAATATATTATTAAAATAAATAATAATAATGATAATAAATAATTGCAGTAAATACAAATAGTAAGTATAATAAATAATTGTGTATATGTATTAGGGCTGTCAAATCGATTAATCGCAACCAAAATAAAAGTGTGTGTTTACATAATATGCATGCGTGTACTGTATATATTTATATGTATATAAAAATAAGCATACGTACATGTATATATGAATAATTTTTATATTTATATATAATATAAATCATACACGTGTGTATATATATATATATATATTATGTAAACACAAACTTTTATTTTGGATGCGATTTGACAGCTCTAATATGTATATATATTACATAGTTATATCTAAAAAAAAATATTATATGAATTAATGATATATAATCTTATATTTTACACTACCGTTCAAAAACGTCTCTTCTGCTCACCAAGGCTGCATTTATTTGATCAGAAATACTGTAAAATTGTGAAATATTATTAGAATGTAAAACAGCTGTTTTCTCTGTGAATCTCTGTTAAACTGTAATGTATTTCTGTGATGCGCAGCTGTATTTTCAGCATCATTCCTCCAGTCTTCAGTGTCACATGATCTTCAGAAATCAGTATAATATGCTGATCTGCTGCTCGAGAAACATTTCTGATTATTATCAATGTTGAACACAGTTGTGCTGCACAATATTTTTATGGAAACTGTGATACATTTTATTTTTCAGGGTTCACAGATGAACAGAAAGTTCAAAAGAACAGCATTTTCTTTTGTAACATTATAAATGTCTTTAATGTCACTTTTGATCAATTTAATGCATCCTCGATTAATAAAAGTAATAATTTGTTAATAATAATAGGCCGTGATTGTGTTATGCAGCATGTGCACAAGTCCCTGTGAACTTCATAAGTATTTTTTCAAACTTGCGAGGGCATTTTTCATCAGTGTTGTGCTCTAAGTCTGGTGTAGTTTCAGACACACACCTGCGGGCAGGTGATGGCTTTATTTCCCTGATGAGCGGCCGGTCTCGATCCATCACTGCTGTCCTGGAGGCGTGAGGGCTCTGAGTGTTGACCGGGGCCCCAGTAGAGCTCACCCGGGCTGGGGACGGAGTGAGCGGGACGCCCCTGACTCCCAGCGGCCGCCGGATGTGACTAATCACCCCCGCGGTGAACTCTGACCCCCGGGGGTCAAACCGGCCCACGGTTCAGCGCACTGCCACCAGCTGCAGCAAGTGTGTGTGTATGTGAGAGAGTGAGAGTGTGTGTGTGTGTGTGTGTGTGTGTGTGTGTGTGTG